TTGTTCGATGGGATGTCGAAGACGTTCCATTCGTCAAAAGGAAGTCTGTGAAGAAGAATCATAGATGAGATGATAGATGAGATGTCAAATTGCATTCAAGGAAACTCTGTAATAAAAGATTGGTCGATGGAACGTCGAACGCGTTAGATTCATCAAGAGGAACTCTGTCAAGGAGAACTATGGCTGAGTCGTCGACGCGTTGGATGCATCGAAGGGAATCCAGTGAAGAAGAATTGTGGAGAAGACGTCAAACGCGTTAGATTCGTCAAGAGGAACTCTGTCAAGAAGAGCTATGTATGAGACGTCGAACGCGTTGGATGCATCGAAGAGAATCCAGTGAGAAGGAACTGTGGAGGAAACTTCGAACGCGTTCGATTGGTCAAAAGGAACCGAGTGAAGAAGAATCATCGATGGGATATCAAACGCGTTAGATTTGTCTAAAGGAACGCTGTCAAGAAGAACTGTGGATGAGACGTCGAACGCGTTGGATGCATCGAAGAAAACCTAGTGCAGGGGAGCTGTGGAAGAGATTGCAAACGCGTTTGACTCGTCGAAAGGAACCGAATAAGGAAGAATCGTCAATGGAATGTCAAACGCGTTCGACTCGTCAAAAGGAACCGAATAAAGAATAAAGGGATATCAAACGCGTTAGATTTGTCTAAAGGAACGCTGTCAAGAAGAACTGTGGATGAGACGTCGAACGCGTTGGATGCATCGAAGAAAACCTAGTGCAGGGGAGCTGTGGAAGAGATTGCAAACGCGTTTGACTCGTCGAAAGGAACCGAATAAGGAAGAATCGTCAATGGAATGTCAAACGCGTTCGACTCGTCAAAAGGAACCGAATAAAGAATAAAGGGATATCAAACGCGTTAGATTTGTCTAAAGGAACGCTGTCAAGAAGAACTGTGGATGAGACGTCGAACGCGTTGGATGCATCGAAGAAAACCTAGTGCAGGGGAGCTGTGGAAGAGATTGCAAACGCATTTAACTCGTCGAAAGGAACCGAATATGGAAGAATCGTCAATGGGATGTCAAACGCGTTTGACTCGTCAAAAGGAACCGAATAAAGAAGAATCGTCGAAGGGATATCAAACGAGTTAGATTCGTCGAAAGGAACTCTGTCAAGGAGAATTATAGATGAGACGTCAAACGCGTTGGATGAATGGAAAGAAATCCTCAAAAAAAGATTGGTCGATGAGATGTTGAACGCGTTAGATTCGTCAAAAGGAACTCTGTCTAAAAGAATTGTAGATGAGATGTCAAATGCGTTGGATGAATCCAAGAGGAACCCAATGAAGAAGATTTGTGGAGGAAATTTCGAACGCGTTCGATTCGTCAAAAGGAACTGAATAAAGAAGAATCGTCGATAGAACGTCGAACGCGTTGGATGCATGGAAAGAAATCCTGTAAAAAAGATTGGTAGATGATACGTCGAACGTATTAGGATTGTCAAAAGGAATAAAGAAGAATCGTCGATGGAATGTCAAACGCGTTAGATTCTTCCAAAAGGAACTCTGTCAAGAAGAACTATGGATGAGACGTCAAACGGGTTGGATATATGGAAATAAATCCTCAAAAAAAGATTGGTCGATGAGATGTTGAACCCGTTAGATTCGTCAAAAGGAACTCTGTCTAAAAGAATTGTAGATGAGATGTCAAATGCGTTGGATGAATCCAAGAGGAACCCAATGAAGAAGATTTGTGGAGGAAATTTCGAACGCGTTCGATTCGTCAAAAGGAACCGAATAAAGAAGAATCGTCGATGGGACGTCGGACGCATTAGATTCGTCAAAAGAAACTCTGTCAAAGAGAACTGTGGATGAGACGTCGAACGTGTTGGATGCATGGAAGGAAATCCTGTAAAAAAGATTGGTAGATGAAACGTCGAACGTATTAGGATCGTCAAAAGGAACGCTGTCAAGAAGAACTATAGATGAGACGTCGAACGCGTTGGATGTATCCAAAGAAACCCAGTAAAGAAGAACTGTAGAGGAGACTTCTAACGCGTTCAATTCGTCAAAAGGAACCTAATAAAGAAGAATCGTCGATGGTATGTCGAACGCGCTCTATTCGTTAAAAAGAACTTCATGTAAAAGAATCATCGACGATTAGTCGTACAGAACGTCGTGAAAAAATCATCAAACGCGTTCGATCTCTTAAAAATTCCTGTCTATCCTGACTCTTGAACCAGCTCTCATCAACGGCATCCATTTTACCTTCTATCGCAACAAATCTACGCGATGAATGCATTGAACGCTATTGTGAATCGCAGTTATCGACCTGCCACTCCTCGTTTCCTTCTTCTATCCTATCTACACAAAGCTTTATTTCTCCCGCTAATCGATAAACAAAAATAAATAAACAAACCAAAGAACTTCGCGAAGAAGAGTCTTCGACTAGACGTCGACTTTGTTCGATTCGTCGAAAAGAACCTGGTGAAGAGGAATCTGAAGAACGAAACGTGGAATGGAGCATCGATCCTGTCTATAGTGCCTATCCACAATGGGGAATCCCCGGCCGTGGACGCTCGATTGGACGAAAATGGTGGACAATCGCTGGGACAATGGACGGCCAGTCGACTTAGGGGCAAAACGTTCCTCGAATGATCGCGATGGTCATCCTTATTGGCTTATCTCGTGGGCTGCATATTGTTGTGTCTTTCGCTGCCATTCAGGGAAACATGCCGCTTGCCACTCTTGCACGAGTAAACGCGAATAAGGGATGTTTGAGGATGATTTAAGGGGATGATACAATGAGGTGTAAGAGGATATAAAAAAATTTGGCAGATTGCTTCGGGTATCGAATGGAGGTATTGAAAAGGGAAAGACATTCGTTGAATTCGGTTGGTTTGAGCATGTCAGAGGGTGTTTTGCGGTGTTTTAGTTGGAAAAGAGACGTGAACGTTGAAACGAGAAGGTTCGTGCAGAAGAAAGGGAATTTTCTATGCTATTGCTTTGGAATTTGAGGTTAATGAGGATCTTCTGGTTCTGTTTCCTTTGGTGGGGACTTAGGGAGGAGTCTGGGCTTTGTTTGTTTTCGATACATTGGAATAATTGATAAAATAGAGATGCTTTTGAAGAGATTAAATTGTAGGCTATTTACAGGTGAAATTGTTAAAACTCTTTTTATCAAATTCTGGAATTAATCAGCTGTTATATATAGCTATAAATACACGATCATAAGAAATTTAGGCTCATCTTATATGTCTTGTTATTTCTGATATTTATTTAAAAATTTTAATAGAAATATTTGTCATAATTTTTAAAAGATTATTGAATATTTATAATAGGTCATGGAAGAAGAGAAAGTGCGTATTTATACGTTACATATGCAATGTGGTAATCACAGTGCTGCCATCTAGCGGTCTTTGGTTAACTTAAATAGTGGCGGGAGATTACAAATGCCCTAATAATATCAACAACAATTTTCTTCCCTTCAATAATATTTCGAATAAAGTATCTTCTAAAATGACGATTTTTAGAAGGCTTTATCAAATTTTCATTTTATGAAACTCGTAAAAATTTCAAAATTCTTCTCAGTGGTGTGTATATATAGTAATAAGTTCTGTCTAAAAATGGAATAATATTTTAGAAAGAATTCTTCTAGTAAATTATTTTATACTCGATACTGTGCATTTGATTTATCTAAATCTTCATTAATTAAGCAATGCATATAGTAAATTATTTCTGCACTGCATTATGCTTGTTCCTACAATCACAGAAATAAATCAGTGACTGTCACACAAAGTGATACTTAGAAAGCAAATTAAATTTAAATTACGAAGAATTGAAATTATCGATTTTGGAAATTGGCAAAATGAGGGTAGCAAAGTACTTTCTATCACTTTTTAAAAATCAACGAAATTGGTTGGAGTTGTTTTTGATACTGACAGTGCAATCCTTTCCACGAGCGTGGAAGCTTTCAACTAATAGGACACTCGGTCAACAGGTTAAACCAATAATTAATATTTTCTTTATTCTTTTATTTAATCATAATCCTCTTGCCTTACGGCTTAAAGATGGCTTCCAGTTGTCTTACAATCTATCTATGTCTATTTATATACATATATGTAGGAATGGAATGAGTGCCACCCTGAAAGAATGTCAAGAGTGTTTTGACTTAGAACGAAAGTGAGGGAAGAGGATCGAATGTAAGGGACGTTTATGACAAAGCCGAATGCAAGTGAAGATTGGAAGCCTAGGAATGCGTCTAATTGTAAGTGTTTAGGATACCTAAGTACGACGAGTAGTAAGACGAGTGATTGAGAAAGACAGTGTAGGTATGAAAGAAGACAGAGTGCAAGGACACGGAAGAGTCAGAGTATCTTAAACTCAGAGAGTAAGGATTAGAGACTGTCAGAGAGTGTCAGAGTATATCAGAGTGTTTTAAAGTCAGTCATAGAGTTCTATAAAAATAACCGAGAGTTATTAGCGAGTAGAATAAGTTTTAGTTTAAAATAAATCACTTTTATATTTGCATCATTGCTTATTCTGTTGCTTACCCAACATCTCAAATATAGATAAAAATAGTGTCTTTTAATTCCAACACTTCCAACCCTTTTCCTTTTTAGTCCAAAAATTCCCCTATTGACAGGTGCCCTCTAGTGTATGAGCATGAGCATTCCCTCAGTACATGATTTGTGCTTTCCTTTTCCTTTCCACGCAGTCTACACATCCTTTCTTCTACCTCCACCCAGTGCTGCCCTCTTCTCAACTCATTTCCACACCTGAACCTCTCTATTACATATCTTTCCCTTTCCTTCCTCGTACCTTTCAGGTATTCTGACACCTTTTCTGTTATCAGCTCGCTGTACCCTCAAATCAATCATTAATAACAGGAAAGTTAAACAGAGTCTACAGAGTTAAAGATAGCACATCGTTTATCTCGTTCATTGACTGTCGTTAACCGTGATTAATTAACCGTAAAAGCGTATTGGGACTCGAAACGAATCCGTGTAACGCAAGGCAAACACGATAACAGCGTGATTCGATGATCCACAGGTCGGTGTGGCGACGAGTCCGATACGGAGAGCGAACCAGGCATTCCTCTGAAGCGAAAGCAACGCAGAAGCAGGACTACGTTTACTGGAGAACAGCTAGAACAACTGGAGACCGCGTTTCAACGGGCCCAGTATCCGGATGTCTATGCCAGGGAAGAGCTGGCTCAGAGGACTGGACTCACGGAAGCTAGGATTCAAGTGAGTCGCTTTCTTTTCGTTCAGTTTTATGATGAGATTGGTCCCTTCGACGTTTTATCCGTGAGTGAAACTGGTTAGGTGGAAATATAATTGAAATTTCTTTCTTTTCGGACAGTTTTGTGTTCAGTTGATCATCTAGTGTTTTGGTGTGTGTGTGTGAGATTGGTGAGCTGAAAATATGATTTAAATTTCCTTCTTTTTGATCAATTTTATGTCAAGATTGATCCTATCAGTGTTTAATCTGTGAGAGAAATTGGTTAAGCTAAAAATATCATTCAAATTTCTTTCCTTTCGTCGAATTTTATACTAAAATTGGTCCATCTAAGTGTTTGATCTATGTGTGAGATTAGGAAGGTAAAAATATAATTATCATTTTCTTCTTTTTGACCAATTTTATGTCAAGATTGATCCTATCAGTGTTTGATCTGTGAGAGAAATTGGTTAAGCTAAAAATATCATTCAAATTTCTTTCCTTTCGTCGAATTTTATACTAAAATTGGTCCATCTAAGTGTTTGATCTATGTGTGAGATTAGGAAGGTAAAAATATAATTATCATTTTCTTCTTTTTAACCAATTTTATGTCAAGATTGATCCTATCAGTGTTTGATCTGTGAGAGAAATTGGTTAAGCTAAAAATATCATTCAAATTTCTTTCCTTTCGTCGAATTTTATACTAAAATTGGTCCATCTAAGTGTTTGATCTATGTAGAGCTAGAAATATGGTCAAAATGTCCTTCCTTTTGACACGTTTTGTGCTGAGATAAGGCTATCTAGTATTTGAACTACGTGAGAATTTAGTAAAGCAAGAATATGGTTAAAATTTCTTTCTTTTTGACGTGTTTTAGATTGACAGTAATCCAACTAGTATTTGATTTTTGTGTGAAATTGTCAAGATAGAAATATTATTAAAATTTCCTTCTTTTTGGCCAATTTTATGGAAAAATTGATCCTGTCAGTGTTTGATCTATGAGTGAAATAGACGAGGTAAAAATATGATTCAAATTTCTTTCCTTTTGTCAAATTTTATATTGAGATTTGTCCTTCTAGTATTTGATCTATATGTGAGATTAGTAAAATAGAAACATAATTAAAATTTCCTTCTTTTCATCTAGTTTTGTGTTGAGATTGACTCTGTCAGTATTTAATCTATATATGAAATTGGTAAGGTAGAAAAATAATTAAAATGTGTTCTTTTTGTCACGTTTTATGCCAAGATTGATCCATCTTTCATTTAAACTTCCTGTGAAATTGATAAAATAAAAACATGGTTAAAATTTCCTTCCTTTTGCTAAATTTTATGCTATTCTAATCATTCATCTGCTATTTGATTCATGTGTGAAATTGGTAGGGTAAACATATAGTTAAAATCTCTATCGTTTCATCCAGTTTTATGTCAAAATTGGACCATCCAGTATTTGATCGACGCAAGAGATTGGAAAAATTCAAATGCAATTAAAATTCATTTACAAAAAGTTTTATTGTACATTAAAATTGACCTTGTCCAATTATAATCAATTATAATTGACCTTGTACATTAAAATTGACCTGGTCCAATTATATATCAATTAAAATTGGTAATTATTATAGAAATGTGAAACGTGGATCTGAATGATTATAGGATAGGTATTATCCCGTTAGGTATTATACGTGTGGATCTGATTAGTTATAAGTATAGGCTATCGATACGTCAATATATACTAGTTCAATAACATAACTTCATAACATACTAGTTCATACTAACATACATAACATACATTACTTCATAAAATACTAATATACTAGTTCAATAACATAATTACACTATCCAACACTACACGATCACACTACCCAACACTACACGATCACACTACCCAACACTACACGACCACACTACCCAACACTATACAACTACACTACCCAACACTACACAACTACACTATCTAACACTACACGACTACACTACCTAACCTAACCTAACCTAACGCTCCTCAACAATTCAACGATCAACCAAACTCTCAATTACAGGTATGGTTCAGCAACCGCAGAGCTCGACTCCGAAAACACGCCGGAAGTATAGCTCACTCGGTAGCAAGTTTGCCACTGACCCCCTGCCAATACGCGAGCCACGAGCTCGCACAGATACCCCAGGTACCCCAAATACCTCCAGGGATAGCTCAAGTGCCGACCACGTTGCACCACAGTCCAACACTGCAGCAGGCAGGTAGCAGTGTTCACCCTGTGCCGGGAACCAACGCGCAGATGTCGACCACCACCTCGGTGGCTCAAGTACCTTCCACGATCAGCAGTGCTCTCCAAGGTCACGCTGTGTCTATCTCGGGACATCTCAGCTCCTTGCAGGGCCACCCGATGCAGCTTGGGCAAGTACCAACGATCCAACCTCCTGCAGCTCATGGCGCACCCACCTCGCTCTCTCATAATCCAGGTGAGTCGAAAGATTGTAAATCGAAGATCGAGTCTTTCTCTCGAAATTTTATTTTGTTTTGCAACTGTCTCGTAATATTTATTCTTTCCCATTTTTTAATTTATTTCATAGATTTTTGACTAGGTGAGTTGAGTTTTGAGACGAAATTTGATTCTTCTAGGAATCTTATTCTGCATATCACTGTTATATGATTTTCTTTCTTTTTTCATAAATTTATTTTATGAAATTTTTCTCCAGGTAACCGAGTTTTAAGTCGAAATTTCATTCTTCCTCGAGGAATTTTATCTTATTTTATATATCATTGTTATATGATTTTTATTTCCTTTTTGAGTACATTTAATTTATTAAAAGTTTTATCCAGGTAACAGAGTTTTAAGTCGAAATTTGATTCTCTCTCTAGAAATTTTATTTTATTTCATACGTCTGTGACATATACGTTTCCTTATTTTTTATTTCTTTTATGAAATTTTTCTTCGCGTTTATTGTACAAATGAAATTTAATTTTTCCTTTGACAATTTTACTTCGTATGGCATTGTTGAAAATTTGTTTTTCTTTGTAAATTGATTATGTGAAACCTTCTTAATATGGATTTGTTGATAATAATTCTTCTTCGTTAATTTTCATCATACCACAACCGCAACAATCATACACTGTTTACCACAAATTTTAATGTGTAATATCCATTGGACAATTCTTCGAGAGATACTCAATGGATATTACAGATTAAAATTCGTCTTAAACATTGTAATTAAGATATTCTTTAGAATTTACACAATAGATACGAAACATAAAATACAAAATATATAAGGTTTTGTTAAATATAATTACAGTATTTTTATTTACTTATTTTTTCCAAAACTCCCTACTTTGTTTCTTCCAGAATTGCACATTTTTATTAGCATAAATATTCGCACTTTCCAATATTCTTTTATTTATTTATTTTTTCTAAAATTTCTCCACTTTGCTCTTTCCTATAATTCTCCATTTCTATTAACATAAATATTCGTACTTTTCAATATTTTCTTTCTCAAAATTCCCTACTTTATTCCTTCCAGTAATTACACATATCTGTTAACATAAATATTCGTACTTTTCAATATTTTCTTTCTCAAAATTCCCTACTTTATTCCTTCCAGTAATTACACATATCTGTTAACATAAATATTCGTACCTTCCAATATTTTCTTATTTATTTATTTTTTCAAAAATTCCCTGCTTTGTTCCTTCCAGTAATTACACATTTCCGTTAACATAAATATTCGTACTTTCCAATACTTTTTTATTTATTTCCTTTTTCCAAACTTCTTCCACTTCGTTCCCTCCAGTGTTCATACATATATATATATATGTGGGATTGGAATAAGCACGGCCCTGGAAGAATGGCAAGTGTGTCTGGACCCAGAAAGAAAGAGATCGATTTCAATGAATGTTTATGTTAGAGTGAAAGATTAGAGATGCGTGCAGAGTGATTGAAGTACCACGCCCTCCGAGGTTGCGTGGGAAAGAAGTGTGATTGCAAAGGAAATCCTGGGTACGAAAAAGGACAGAGAGAATACTTAAATAAGTGTGCAAGGGCGCGGGCAGCACCAGTCCTTCACGGTCCCTAGTTTCGTAGCCAATAAGTATAAGTTTATTGTATTTTAAGGAGCAGTAAAACAACATTACTTTAGCCCATCCACCCACCCCGATCCTACATATATTAACATAAACATTCCTTCTTTTTAGTATCAAAAACTTTAATATTTCAGTTTTCATTCGTATCCTTTCATTCGCATGAATGTATCACACATTCTGTTCATTCATTGTCTTGCATCTCGCGTCTCTCTTATCACATCTCTCATCAGCAAAGACTGACCCCTTGTTGGGGGTGCGTTAACACGTTAAGTACCCAGCCCGTTTTACTTTCCGTTCCGTTCAGGCCCAGACTCGGCCATCAAATGGGCCACTGGCGGGGGGCCAAGTGCTCATAAAACTCGGAAATACTGTACTAATTGTTATGACAAAAATTCCAAAACGTTAGGTCCAAAGATGACGAAGAATTTAACATCAAAAGTTAACACTTTTTGGTCCTAGTCTGGGCCGGGCCCGAACGGAAAGTCTAGCATCGGTCCCAGGGGACCTACGTGACACTTTACGTGTTAATGAGCAACGTCGATGACCCGATTTCAGGGAACGCCGATTGGTCCAGGGCGCAACTAGGCTGGGGACAGTTCAATCACTTCCAAGGTGAATACACGTCGAGTCATTCGAGTCATCAGCATGCCTCGCACGCGAGTCATGCTGGAACAGCGTCTTCTGGTACCGGGAACCCTGCATCGGCGGCGGAGTGGTACGACCAGGGCTACGATTATTCCCAACACGCTCAGCTCAACTATCATCGAAGCGTGGGCGGCATATTTTAACGGACGATGATTGCATGGGCATTAGGAAAAGTCAGTTAGGCTATCGATCGCTGTTTCATCGCGCCATCATTGCTTCGACTCCCGCGGAACCCCTTGCTGCTCAACTATTTTTCTGAGTTTAGAGAACTTCGAAATTTTTGTTCTCTTTCCTCTTTTCCTTTTTTTTTTTTTTTTTTGAAACTCTGACAGCCGAATTGTCATTTATGTGTCACTCTTTTCTTTTTTGGAATTCTGTCAGTCAAATTGTCTTTCACATCCCATGATGAGAAGGAAATTAACTCACCATGTTCTTCCCCTGTGATCTTCCAACAATATTGTACATTCTGTAAGTAATATCGAAGAAAATAGATTTATACTGCTGGTCAGGAAGTTTGGAATCACTATCGAACAGTATATGGATTTAAAATGGAATTAAATTTCATTAAATTATATATTTCAATTAATTATATTTATTATAATTAAATTTTAATAAATTATACATTAAATAGTTCAATAAATTTATTTATGGGAAATATTAATAATTTTTATTATTAATATTTTATTGTAAGATAATAAATATTTTAGTTCGAGATATTTGTTGTATTATATTGTTAAAAATCAAATTCAATTTTAATTTTCGACCCGTTTAACAGTATATGGATTTAAAATGGAATTAAATTTCATTAAATTATATATTTCAATTAATTATATTTATTATAATTAAATTTTAATAAATTATACATTAAATAGTTCAATAAATTTATTTATGGGAAATATTAATAATTTTTATTATTAATATTTTATTGTAAGATAATAAATATTTTAGTTCGAGATATTTGTTGTATTATATTGTTAAAAATCAAATTCAATTTTAATTTTCGACTCGTTTATTCGTACTGAAAATTTATAAAAATTTTGTAAATAAATTGTCAGTAACTTATTAAATTAACTCAAGACATTTTTTAAACGTCTGTTCAATTAATATGGAATATTCTGTTGTATACAAATATTTTACTTGCTTGCAGAATTTGTATAAAAATTGTAATGTTTTAAATTTATAACAAATATCGTTTTCTTCTAATCAATTTTGGATGAAAATTTAAAATATAATTCCGGTTTAGAGAATATTTACTAATCGTTATTTATTTCCCATATTCAGCATAATAAAATATTATACAACATCGAATTTATTATTAATTAATTTTTAATACATTGAAACCATAAAATTCAAAATATAAGGAAGAAAATTTGAGATTAGAATTGGCAGAAAATTTGGTAACTTTGCTTTTAATTTTTAATTTTCTTTGCACTCGACAATTTTTTGGCTAAAGAAGAGTAGGAGTCGAAGATTTTCTACTGTGCAGCTGGCGATATATTTTTAAGCATATTTTTTTTAATACTATTTCCTTAAATAAGAAATGGTATAATAATTGACACGTAGAATTATTTGATTTCGATACCTCGGACACTATTACATTATCTCAAATTTGATATATTAATTAATATCGATCTTCGAAATTTTATCAAATTTTATCAAATGACGACTGGAGGGTGCCTCTCTAGTGCAAAGGGTTAATTTTGGTTTGAATTTTCAAAATCCATGTAAACCAATCAAATCGATTCCAAACTTCCATCGGTACCATATAAGGATCAAAGAATATCGTGTAGAATATAGAAAGACTTTATTTATTAAATTATTAGTTATTAATTATTATTTAACATCGTCTTAGCTTTTATACATTTTTGGTAACAGATGTTTCATGGGTGTAGATTGATACGAAAGTGCGGTGTATAGAGTATTGGAAATTTGAAGTACAAGGAATGCAATTGCTCAGTAATTAGGTAACGGAAGAGATTCGTGGCTAAAGCTATTTTTGTAAATAAATCGATGTACATATATTTTTATATTTTTTAATATTATAAACAACAACGATGTAAGAAATATTTTTTGTAGATGTACAAAGAAAATATTTTATTAATTCTTGTCAAATGCTTTTCCTTCTCTCGATACCCTGCCTCTATAAAATTCCAAATATTCCCGAAAAAGAATTTTTTTTATAACAGGAAACATAAATTTTAAGATGGAATAACAAATAGGTAAGTTTCTGTAAGATTTATTAAATATTACATATTGACAGTCATAATTCTATAAAATAAAAATAAAATGAATTAAAATAATTATTTTGTTTATAAATATTATAGTAATTAATATAAATGAAATAAATATCGATAGATTTGCATGAATTATACATTCGTACCTATCTTTGTATTTAAATATGTAGTCATTAAATTTATTAAAGTTGCCAAAAAAGATTTTCTAATTAAAGTGAAATGAGAAACAATATTTGTTATTATCAAAATAATTAATGCATTTTATTTATAAATATTATAGTGATTAATATAAATGAAATAAGTATCGATAGATTTGATATCGATGAATTATACATTCAGACCTATCTTTACATTTAAATATGTAGTTATTAAATTTATTAAAGTTGCCAGAAAATATTTTCTAATTAAAACATTCATTTTTTTTAATTAATTATAGTAAATTGTCATAGAAAATATTTATATACAGTTAAACTGGTATGAACAATGACATGTAATATAATTTCACTGACATGTGATTTGTATGTCAAAATCTAGTGTATAATTATAATAATAAGTAAAATATTTTTTTAACAGTAATTATATTTTTATTCAATATCATTCTTTGCACTGGAAATGATCCAATTTTATAAAAACTGTCCTTTATCACTTTTATTCTTATGAGGAAATAAAAGTACTTCATTTATAAACATTATTTTAAATAAAATAAGTAAAACAAATATTTCCTTTTTACTTTTGATTTCACTTAATTTATAAATCATTTACATAAATTAGGCGTACATATCTTCATATTTTAATCAATAGTCATTAAATTTACTGATGTTGGCAGAAAATGCACACTTACGAAAAACTAAAAGTAATTATTTGTAACTAAAATAATTAAATTAAAAATTGTATATATTTCTATAAATTATACATATCATACGTGTTCTGAAATTTGCATTATCAGTCGTCAAATTTATTAAAATTGACAGAAAATGCATTTTTGTCGAAAACTAAAAGTTCTCAGTTTCTAAATTTATTTCTAAACTATACATAACTGAAATAAATAAAATAAATATACATATACAATTTACATAAATAACACATGCATACGTGTCTTCATAAAATAAGCAAACCCACTTTGTAAAGAATATGTAACTCCGGCATTTCACTGTTACAATACCTTTAATCTTCTTAAACCCCGTTGAGGTAGGTCATGAATCATGCACACTGTAGCAATGGATCAGATCGTTCTTCACGTGGCACAATTTAACAATGATTAAATACGGAAGTAACACAATGGCAGAACAAAGTATACATAATTTAAGAAAAATTATGTTTGCCTTAGGACATTTATTACACTTACATTTGCAACATAATGAGGCAATTTAGTATCATCCTGTAGGCTGTTTTCTTTGTTCGAGCTGATTTAAAGCGAATCTCAAATAAAAGGCAATTGCAAAAAGGTAATGAGAATTTTAGAATAGTATTATCAGAAATGAGAAATCTATGTAATATATGCCTGTCATTATACATTTCAATTGAATCTATTATCTTATTATCTTAATTGAACATCTAATTATCATCTATAATTAACGAAAAATAAAATGCAAAATATTTTGGAAGAGAAAATTATTTACATTTTAGGTATGTTTATAATAAATCTTTTCATATTATAAAATGGAATTATTTTACACGTGTTACCTACAATTAGTGTAAATGAATATAAATCATTTTAGAACAAGAAATTATTTAAATTTGACACATTTATAATAATTCTTCTCTTATATAACAGAGAAGCATTTAACGAGTATCATCTATGGTTAACATAAATAATTAACAGAAACTTAAATAATAAGTTTAAAATATATTGATAATTTTTTATTTAGCAATTATTGTCTCTAATTAATATAAATAAATATAAAGTGATAAATATATATGGTTAACATAAATAATTAACAGAAACTTAAATAATAAGTTTAAAATATATTGACAATTTTTTACTTAACAATTACCATCTATAATTAATATAAATAAATATAAAAATAATCTATAATTAAAGTAACAAATAATGTACAATAATTTGTAATGTACAATTTCTATTTTTCTCCATCATAGATTTACCAAAATTTGACTTTAATAAAAATAACAATAATAATTAACACTGTCTAGCACTCAAAATAAAAAATATTATTGTTAAATGTATTCAAAATCCACTTTTAGACTCACGGTATTATTATTATAAATATAGCAATCTGTCAATATTCTTTTTTATTTAATAATGAACCTCTACAATGTCATATATATTCATTCATGCTACTATTTTCCTCTGCCACCATATCAATATACTATCACTATTTAATCCATTTATCTCGTTCATTGATCGTTAATTCTCCCCTCAAAATCAAATGCACATTAAATATTAAGAAAATTTCGAAAACTGTTTATTTAACAAAGGACTGTAAACGTGTCAGTGATTATGAGAATAACCTAAATCGTTAATATTTCATTTCGAAATATTAAAAATTTCATTCTTCGAGTACATCATAAATTCAAAAATTAATTACGAAACTCGTTCTATCGATTTCGATATTTTCTTATTTCGCAAAAAATAATACTTCATTGCAACATAATCGAAGATGACACAAAATAAATAAAAAAAATAGTTTCTCTTGGATTTTTTACTTGGATCACATATAATCACTAACACAAACAAAAATAGCAAGGAAATCTCAATCTTAGTACTGAAATTCGAGTTTTAAAAATTCCAATGACTGAAGTAAATCAAAAAATTCTCAGAAAATTTCATTTAACCCTTTCGCTATGGCGGACATCGCCGCGGAGTCCCTCCCGCGTTGTGTCAAAGGTGGAAGCATTACGCATGCGCAGTCTTTAGTATTCGCGGCCGCCTTTTGAAAAAAAAAAAAAAAAAAAAAAAAAAAAAAAACGAAATACCAAAAGCGACTTACAATTCTTTGTTGTATGAGAGTTAAGCAAAATGCTAAAACAGCATTTATCTTAATTTTTAGCACAATTTTTGTGGCCGGTGACTATAGTCATCCGTCGAATATAGGTGGCGTTTCGTAGCCGGGTGACTATAGCCTATGATATATGACTATAGAGTGACTATAATCTATGATATATGACTATAGAGTGACTATAATCTATGATATATGACTATAGAGTGACTATAGTCTATGATATATGACTATAGAGTGACTATAGTCTATGATATATGACTATAGAGTGACTATAGTCTATGATATATGACTATAGAGTGACTATAGTCTATGATGTATGACTATAGAGTGACTATAGTATAGTAGCAATAGCGCTTACAATTCTTTGGTCTAAGGGAGTTAGTCCAAATGATGAAATAGCATTTATAATTAACTTTTAGCTCAATTTTTGTGGCCGGTGACTATAGTCATCCATCGAGTATAGGTGGCGTTTCGTAGCCGGGTGACTATAGTCTATGATATATGACTATAGAGTGACTATAGTCTATGATATATGACTATAGAGTGACTATAGTCTATGATATATGACTATACAGTGACTATAGTCTATGATGTATGACTATACAGTGACTATAGTATAGTAGCAATAGCACTAGCAATTCTTTGCTCTAAGAGAGTTAAGCAAAATGCTGAAATAGCATTTGTCTTCATTTTTAGCTGAATTTTTGTGGCCGGTGACTATAGTCATCCGTCAAGTATAGGTGGCGTTTCGTATCCAGGTGACTATAGTCCATGATATATAACTATAAAGTGACTATACCATAGTAGCGAAAGGGTTAATCACTAAGAAATACGAAGAAAAGACAGCACCGAATAAATGACATGAGAAACAAAGATTTTTATTCCATCGTTTATTATTATCGCTTTATTGTCATCTGGTTTATTCATTATTGTCTAGACAAAACACATCGCTACATTCCCATAATCGCAGACGATCGAACGTCATCCAATCGATGACAGATCGTTAACATCGATCGTCCCTTAATGACCACACGATTCTCCGCCGACTTTACATTTAACATACACGTATTACACAATGATCTATCGATAATTACTGAGACATGTATCATGGACAAAAGAAAGCTGAATTTCTGCGTTTATTAATACTATCGAGCGCTAAAGATTTACACCGACTACTGCTACACGTCGAAGATCGCGTCACGGCTTCCTCCATTTTGTCCCAGAGCGATCGAGCTGTAAAAATGTGCAATGAAAACTCGTCGAAAAATTATCCTGCGTGTCGGACGATCGTCGAACTATGATTTCTTAAACTCGGATACAGAATTGCTTCAGACTAATCGAGTAATCCCATCTGATTCTCAATTTCCCTTCGTGCATACACCTGTACTTGCAGGGTAAGTCCATTGAGCACGAATAACGCGAAAATATTGGATTTGCGGAAGAAAATTACAGAAGAAAATAAATAGTGCAACAGGAAACTACCAAAAAGGAATTTCTCAAAATTATAAATAATTTGTGTAAAAACAAGATGAGAAAATTATGAAAAGGGGACTATTTTTAGCTATGGTGAAGAGGTTTATTAAAAACAACTTGTGTAGAGTGGAAAAAGAAAATAGAGAGAAATTTTTTAAATTATAAACAAGAATTTGATAAAGAAGGAGAAATAAATTTTTAAAATTATAGTAAGAGATTTGTTAAGAAAACAATAAGAGAAAATTATGGCAGAATCGTTTTAAAAATTCCTTAAAAAAATTACTTAACTTTACTACTAAAAATTAAAAAAGGATTTAAAAAATTATAGAACGAGAATCATCAAAGAAAATTGGATACAAAGGTAAAAATGTAAGAAAAGGTTAAACAAAATCAATTTTCCAACACTAACAAAATAAAATGAAATTATAAATAAGTATAAAATAAGTATAAATAAGTATAAATTGAAATTAAAAAGATATTTATAAAAATTATGGAGAGAAATTTGTCGAAGAAAATTATACGTGAAAAATGTAAAAAACAATTAAAAAAAAAAATGTTTATAATTGTGAAGAATTGAAAGCAATTCTTCATCCGGAATGTAAAGCAGGTATACGTTGTAAAACAGATGTATATATAGCTTCACGAATCAGATTAGACACGTTCGATACTATCATTAAAGAATCATTAAGATTATTGTTCTTAATACAACGTTATTGTCACTGAGTATTGTCTAGTTACATTAATTTCGGAGAAAAATATTCGTGACAGAGTTTCTTAACTTTAGTAGAAGTCGCACGAGACGTGAATTTCCAACTTACACAACTCGAGGAATTAATATGGAGGTTAAAATTTGAGGTTAAGTAAATATTATCCGAGCAACGAACAATTTTATACCATTTTCAATGTACGCGACAATTACGCCTTTATACCGTTACACGTTCCCGTGGAAACGGGTAAAAATCGTAAAATCAAATTGCAAGTGGTATTTGTGCACTCGTTAAAAAGCCTTTCATTCTATGTAAACGTAATTTCCTTCGTGCACTGCGTCGTAAATTATCAAATTAATCAACGAATACGGTAAATGTGCACTAACACGATGTAAATTACCACGGTAATTAGGTTCCCTATTCGATCGTGTTCTATTTAACAAGGTTAGGTAAAAGAAAAATTCCACGTCGCTCGGAATTTTGTCTCGCGTTGACTGCCATTTTCTCCTTAAATTACACTTAGAGTATTAAGTTAGTAAGCGCTAAATTAAATACAGTACAAAGCCGTTAAATGTATTACATATAAAATAGTATGTGTCGGATTGTACAACGATGGAAAGCGCAAATAATTCGCTTTATAAAATCTTTGGTTGCTAGTGACAAGTATTTAGTAACATAGTAGAAATTAACTAGTTAGTCGACGGTCTACATCAAACATTGATAATCGTTGGAGCACGAAAAGCATATAGATATCGCACTATCTGATAATAAATACAATACCGATCAAAATACTCACTAGGTACAACGAATCTGCAAATTTTCGGTAAATTTAAGTTCCGTCATTTGTGTCTAGGAATTTTATCAGCCTTCAAGAATTAGGTTATTTCAAGCAATTATTCAAAGGGAAACAATGATACGCTCCCTGTACCTGCACTTTGTAAACACGATAATCTGAAGGAACTTTTACCGACTGCAGGTAACTTAATACGAAAAATCACTAAAGAATAATTTCATATCAACTGCAGATAAATATCGAAAATTTTCAGATAAATTCAGTTATTTCGCAGCAAAATATTTGTAACTTCTATTCAGTTTTAAATATATACTGGAAAACGTATGAATGATATGACTAGCTAATAGATATTTACCGTTGTAATAAATAATTAAAGGAACCGTTTATAACGATTTGGATCGCAACGAGCTAGGAAGTTTCTGGTGGAAATAATTATCTGTAGTCGATAAACGGGGAAACCCTTTGAAGCCGTGTCGACAATCCCCGTGCATGGCTCGAACGTAGCGTACCCTTGGATTAAAGTTAGGTCTTAGCGACCTTGTCGTCGAGTCGGAGGTGTAGTCGGACGAGGTCCCATGTACGGAATCCTCCCTAAAATACATGATTCAGATGCGTGTCAAATCACGAAATATGATTTTCAACTAATTACACCGCAGATTACTAGTCTATATAGCACATAGAATTTATATAATCTACATATGGTTATCGTTATTACGCTACAATGGCGCATAAACATTAACATCCGCTGAATACAGAGTGCGATCAAGAAAATGGTACATGAGGGCAGCGAGTAATTCTTTATGCAAATAATTAAAATTATAAGATAAAATTTTTCATTCGCAACTTAGTTTCTAAGAAAATTGATTTTAAAAGTTCATCTCATATTTATATACCTAAATATTTAATATTCAATTTATCAAATATATATAATTATATATAATTATTATTATACAAAAAAGAATATATAATTATATATTACAATACTACAAATTAATCGTTAATAAAATGGTAATGAAAAGTCAACAAAAATAAAATTCTGTTTATGTAATTCGTACAATACGAACCAATTACCTATTAAGATTAAATCTCACTAATATGATCCCACTAACGTGCCTTAATTATTTAAATCTTCAAATATATTTTTTAATATATGAAAATAAAATAAAATGTTCTTCAAAAAAATATATTATATGCTATAATATTGTATTGTAAATGTACTATAATATTTCTCGAAAAACCATATCAATTGTCTTGAATTAATTATATATGATGTTTTTATATAGAAGTAATAATAATATATATTCAATGAATTTGCAAAAAATTTTATGTTATTCTTTTAATGTATCTTTGTATAAGGAATCACCTCCTGTTCATTTATGTCATCCTTTCAACCGCATCCTGACATTGACATACATATGTGAGAAAATAACGAATACGATAGTAGGCGTCCGTTGTGTTTGCATAACAGCTGGTGCCACCTATTAGTTACTGCATGAAAAATTGTACAGATATAAGCGTATGAGACATTTATGTTACCCGTTGACGGTAAAGTCTCGATGAGTAAAGAAACTTGACAGCATGACACATATCTAATATTCAACACTTATCTACTTGACAGTTAAAGGCAGCACAATGTTTTAGCAATAGAATGTGAAAAATCTGTTTACAAAACATATGTCTCTGAAACTAAACATCTAAACAAGTACGAATAAAATATACAAAATATCAAGCAGAGGTTATGAATTGCTTGCTCGTAACAAAACATTGTCTGCCAATAGGATTAACGACAGAAAACAGGGTAATCTATGTATATCCAATAATTCGCGAACAAAAACGAATTCTGATAAGACAACGATTACTTACAATTGACCATTCAAGAAAACATAGTAGTAGGGCGCTAAAATAATTACAGGCATAAATCAGATACCTTCTTGTTGAAACCACAAAAAGATTCCAAAATGACAGAACATATTGCTAAATAAGGTATCCACTTCCTTCATCTCTCACCCAATCGATACATCAATTACGATCAACGATAATCTAAAGGAAAGTCGGTAACAGAGATTCCCCAAATAGATAACCCTGTGAGACATTTGTGAGTCAACATACGAACACAGTAGCGACAATGTAACAGCGGATAATTCTAAGACTATAATCTAGAACTACCTATTGACTACCGATTCTTTCTTCTAAGTTTTTTACACCGTCATCCCAGCTAGTCTAAAGACATTTACCATATGAGCACGCTAATCGAACCCAACACATCGAGATGTGCCACACAGAGACATCTACATTGCAATTACTAACTACTAACGTGAAGGGTCCACGTGAAGGCAGAAGTAGAATGGAAGATGGCATAGTGGTGAACATTTGGCGTAAAATAGCTGAGAACATTGCTTTCTCTATGGTCCATAAGGATGGGATCTCCCTCTCCGACTACTCGAATATTGCCGATGACTCATTTCCCCACGATCGTTCTTTAGTTCCATTCTTTCTGTGTTCTTACTCAGGCGTAGACATTCGCGACAGCGTGATGAGAGAATAATACAAAGAGGCAATAGAAGAAAGATAGAGAGAGAGAAACACTGACACAAAAAGACACACGAGAGATATAGAAAAGAGCAGGTTAGAACCTAATGGTCTGACCTGCCAACTAAATACCGAGGCGATCGCGAAAATCGAGAAGCCCTGAAAGATGAAAGCCAACCAAGACGTGCCAGGGCCCCGATGTGCCTCTTACTCGCTTGAAACGTTTCCGGGTAGCCGAATTGGCCTACCTCCGGCTGCATCTCCGGTGCAGAACCTGTTTCTGACATTCACAGATAGCGCTCGAGTTACCCTCGATCTCTGACTTCACGTTCAACTACGTGGTTGACATGTCCATTCCCCGGCGACATGAAATACACTCGCTCGAACGGGTCGAGGTCTACTTTTATCGGACTGACGAGCACAATGGTGCTTGCGAGGAACATAGCGTGTTCGCTTGCTGTTGTTCGGTTGAAAAGTTAATTAATCTGGTTGTTTGTTAAGGTTAGGTATGTTTGAAAGGAAAAGGAACGGGAATTGCCATATGCCGATTGGGTCTCGTACTTCGGGGGCAATTTTGATTTCCTCTTTGGCACGAACAACCATGGTGGAAAATTTTTAGAAAATGTAAGAAAATTTGAATATTTTTAAATTAATTGAAATATTTGTATAAATATTAACACGTTAATGGCTGCTAATGTAGTAAGTATTCTTTCTCCATGGCTACTATAAGACTAATAAAAATAGAAAAATCAGTTTTTGTATTTATTTTAATTAATAATAGGAAGTGATAGAACACGCAATGAAAATTCGAAAGTGAGCTTTTCAAATTTTTGTTTGCGTTTAATTTTGAGTCTTCGAATTTTTTAGATTTATTTAACGATTTGGTAATGTTAGCAACTGTAAACGTGTTAAGTATGGTGTAATATGTTTCTTAGAATATTGCATTTATGTAATATTTTTCAGAAACTAAAGCGCTTTCTATATATGGATATTGTAATATGTTCATTTTAAATAGCGCGCCAATTCTTGGTAGGTAAGGTAGGTTCCATTTAAGACATCAATTGGTTTACACAGTTAACCCTACTAGTAGAACCTTGGTAATTTCATCATATCTAGAACTCTTTAACGGTTATTTGAAATGCAACACGATTTTCTTGACTTTATTTAATGTTTAAACTGTTGTTAAATACTATTTTATTAATTTATATTCAATAATATTTCACATTATCTTTTACTAATGTGTTAAATGAAATATGCATTTGAGAATGCAAAGAATGAATAATCAGGCATTCTATTAGAAATTTTCAAAAACTGAAATAATTAATATTATTTAAAATTTCATATATAGCGAATTAATATTATATTGTCAAATAGTTTTTGTGAGATCATTTATATATTATCAAATGTTTTTCATTCCATATTGAGTGTTGTATAAAATCTTAAAATAATAATTTAATAAGATATTTCTATGAAACGATTATTTTAGTTCCCCATTTATATAATAACTCGAAATAATAGTATAAAGTAGAAAAATGATTCTATAAATCAATAACTTTTGATAACTTTCTGTAACAAATTACCTATATTTCAATACAAAAAGTATTCCTAATCCGTACTAAGTATATGAAAGAACTTTTCATTTTTAAACTTGTAACCCCTAACCCTTCAAAACATTATCAACATGAATGAAAAGTTACCAAATTAAAGAAAAAAAGAAAAATAATATCACAGTGAATCTCACTCACCCACAAAGACTGACATCAATGTGCATCTCTCTAATATCCTCCTAAACTACCCCATAGAGACACAAGATTACTTTACTCACCCATGAACCTCTTCTCAGTGTTCGGGTACTGTCCATTGAGTACAGTATCCATCATCTCCTCATAATCATAAGCGTTCGTATTCTGCATCACAGGCAGGGGATACTCGTCGGAGAATCCAATCTGTCTCTTAGGTCTCCTGACATTCGATTCAAAATTCGCCAATGTATCGCTCAGCTTCTCATCCTCGTAATCGTCACCCTGTTCAAGGTTGCTCAGCTCCTGAAGATCCAGTAGATCGTTCCTCGCGTTTATCTCGTCTGACAACGACCTACCATGACGCGAGAGAGCCTTCAAGATCACGCTGCCTGGCAGCAGGACCCCTCTCTTCAGCGTCACAGGCCAAGCGGAATTTCTAGCCAAAGACGAGACACTTCTCTGATCACGGATGGGGAACTCTCCCGACCTGGCCAAAGCACCGACGTATCGTTTTCCATAAGGCAATCCACTGCTTCTGGCCACGGATGCTACGTTTCTCTTTCCGCTTTGAGGTAGAGCATACGTCCTAGCCAGGGACGCGACGTTCCTCTTTCCAGAAAGAGTCACACGGTCCCTGTTACCCTTGCTCGGGTCGTAATCGCGAAGCAGGGATGCAATGTTACGTCTGCCAGGTGGTAAAGCGAAATCCCTAGCCAGAGTTCCGACGTTTCGCTTCTCCAATGAGAAATCCCGTAAGCCTTGCAATTCTGAGCGACCACTAGGTAGAAAATAGTCTCGGGATACCTCGTCGTTCTGACCTCTCTGCTCGCTGTTTGGAGAAATGATTAGAAAAATTAGTTTCCATCTACTTATTAGGAAATTTACTAGTTTTAAGGTCTATCTTCAATTTTGAAAATTGGTTAACACTGGAACTATCAAAATAGGTGGAATTATTGGATACAGACTTTTGTTCTTAGTCTAGGTGTCTGAGGGGAACCTATGTAAGGTAGAAGACTCGTATGAAGATTGACATAGTAGAAGCTTGAAAATTGGCAAAGTTCAGGTGATTGGTGTACAAAGTACAGTGCTTAAAAGTATTTACACTTTTATTTATACTATAGACACTTATCCATAGATGGGGTATGACTGTAGACATTTATATATATGATTATATACATGAACCGTTTATTTGAAGTCGCTGTGGAGACTTTCCCGTAGAATGAGTCGCCATACCAAAGGTGAAAATATTATTCTTTAGCATTTGGAGACAAATTTCTTGAAAAAAAAGAAAAACCGGTCATTGCAATAGTGCTTGCAATTCTTTGCGAAGAGTGCTAAGAGGAACGGGAGTATTTGTGTTAATTTTTGTGGCCGATGACTGTAGTCACCCGTCGTATATACTATGCGTGGCTGAAAAGAAGTCAACTCGTTCGGCTGCGGGGCAAGAGGGGTATTCCACTAGTAATACCCACTCTTCTATGACACTCCCAAAACTACTACCTCCAAGTGCGGAAACGTGATACGTTAACATAGGCGTAAGATATCCGTAAAATTCTTACACTCGAATAATAGAAGACATAATTGAAGACCTAGGATTGGAAATACAAAGCAGTGAGTCGGATAAGGAATCAGATGACAATAGCTCGGAAGCTTTATAAGATAAAGGAGTACAAAAGTAATAATAATTAACATCATTTATGAAAATTGATTTAAAATTTAAGATGTATTTTTTATGATAAATTAATTATATAATTGCATCGTACTAGATAACCGTTTAAAAAAATCCTACGATACAACATAAATATAAAAAATATGTGTACAGTACAGCGCGTTTGCTGCATAATGCAATGAAAAGTTAATCAAGATGCTAATTAGTAATTAGTAATTGAAAATAATCACGTGTTCGTCGGAAGAATCTGAAGTTAATATGCTTTTGGGACGAGTCTACGCTCTTGCATCTATTTGTTGCGTCTATCTCGCTTTGTCTCGTTGCTTCGTTCGCTTTCTTTGTCACGTGGTGTTCTCTGACCGGGCTAATAGGAAGGGATCAGTGCTGCCAATAAGGGAGGCGCTTTACTCTACTTCTGCCATGATGTTAGAATGGTTGGGTTGGTGGGGATTCGATCCTACAAGTTTCTCAGATGACTTCTTTTCAGCCACGCATAGTACGTCATATAGCACCAACAAGTACGTATGTGTTCGGGGTTTTTCGACTGGTAATTCTTTTAAAAACCTTTGGGACTCAAACGGTTAAATTCAAAACAGTGTTATTTATCTCATGCGTGCCTTTTCCCTTCTTCCTTCTTATCCCTCACCTTACACTATGTTATACTATATACTATTGATACACATTGCAAGTTAATAGTTTCAGTGTTCGTATCAAACACAAAAACATACCTTGACAGGACAGCCCTCTTTTCCTCGTCGTTTTCAATATCCACCATACGATCGTAGATGCTGATCGGTAAATCGTCGTTCTTAGCTAATATCGCGATGCTTCTCTTCTGAGCTTCAGGCTGGGGCTCTCTCTCGTCCATCTCGTCACTGTCGTCGAGCAGGCGTCCGACAATCTCGGGTAGCTTCTGTGATCTGCCGTTGAGAATGGCGCTGAGATCGCTCCGCACCACTGGGTCCTTCAGCAGTTGCAGATAAACGTGACTAGGTATACACAGTTCATGATCGTCGCTTCCCTCGATTAAAGCTCTCAGGTGTGACTTGTCGTAATTTCTCATGATTAGACTATAGTAGGCGTCCAGATTTGAACTAACTTCCGGGTGATGTAACAGGGCAAGGAAAGCTGACTTTGGCATACACTGCGCGCTGTCTTCGTTCTGACATGTCACCTGCAAACGTAAAGTAACGACTTAGGTACGATGGATTTGACGAGAAGATGGTTATGGCTGGTTCTTTTCAGATAAACGAGGAGAAATTTGGATGAAATGGAGGTTAGGTTTAGGGGAAATTAGTTATGGTTATATTATAGTTCTATGTAGTTAAATTATAGTTAGGTTTTTTGAGGATTCAGAAGATAAGTATGTTGAATTATAATTTCGAATTCGAATTTTTTAAAGATATTTCGATCAAGTTTAAAAATAATTAAAATATACGTAGAATACTTATGAAACATTTATTATGGTATATTTAGTAAGATGTTATTGGAAAGGTCTTTAAATGTTTATAGAATTAATTTTGAAACTATTAGCGATATCAGTTTTCAAAATTATATTATATTATCTGATAAACCAAATTTGAATTTTTATATTGTAATAAATAATATCTCTAAGTCGAAATCTTTTATTTATTTCATCGTTACATTTATAACAGTAGAATGTTTATTATGTTTATAATATTTTCATAATTTTATCTTATACCAATCCACTTTCATTTATTTCTTAATTTCAAACAAATGTGAATTAAACGTTGAATAAAATAAAATAAAATAATATTAAAATAAAATAATGAAATCATTTATTAAACAAAGAGTCATCTTTACAATATTTAAGATTATATAAAATTATTTCATATTTAATTAATTGTTTAAAATTAAATAAAACAGATATAAAAATTAATATTTTCAAATCAAACAACTATATTTTGAATATGAATTAGAAAATTCTACATAAGTTACCAAATTCTTAAAAAATAATTAAATCTCTTTAAAAATCATTTATATAACAAATAAGTTTTGTTTATAAGCATCATCTAAATTGGTAAAAGCTACAACAGATATAAATTTACAAAAAAATATTGAAATTCACGAAATAAAATTTAATTAACCATTCTTATTATTATTAATTATATACGTTGAAAACATTTTCATTATTATATTATTAATTATCGTTATTATTATTATTAATAGCAATAAAGTAATAATTTACTAAAATAATAGTTCAAATAATAATTTCAATTTAAAAATTAAAAGAAAATTTCTCAATATTAAATCGTTTACTATGCCATTTTTTTATCGCCATATTTACGTTGAAAACATTTTCATTATTATATTATTAATTATCGTTATTATTATTATTATTAATAGCAGTAAAGTAATAATTTACTAAAATAATAGTTCAGACAAGAATTTCAATTTAAAAATTAAATGAAAATTTCTCAATATTAAATCGTTTACTATACCACTTTTTATCACCATAGATTACGTTGAAAAGATGGCCCATAAAATATAATATATAATCTCGATGATTCTTTCGAATCGATTTTCGCGATAATGAATCTCGTACAAAGAATTATACGGCGTTAGCTTTAGTAGGAAAACCACCCCTTCCGCCCCTCAAAAGCCACCCCTTTGATTGTCCCATTATTACCATTATTACCGTTTCTATCGGTTCTAAACAGTTGTTGCTCCAATATCGAAGCTAATATCAGTTTCACCATCGATTTTCCAGATATTGAAAATTATCAAGGGTATCACGTTTAAACGCTGTCATACATACTAAGGCTTTTTCAGCCATTGAAAAGTAATAGAGATTAAAATCATGGTACTATTAAAACTATTTAAAGCAATTCTCTAAATGTCTTTCCACCTACGTGTTTGAGAGAAATTGTAAAGCAGTCGATTATGTAGATGCGATTATAAGTATAATTAAAAATAATCAACACGAGAATAAAAATAATTCGTTTATTATCTTTTACATATTTATATAGTTAAAATCAATTATATTGTAGTTATCAGAGAATAAAATGATCAATTATTCTGTATAACTGTTTAAAATTGTTTATAAATCAATTTACAATTTTTCCAATTTATCTTTTCTAATAAACAAAATAATAAAATATATTGAAGGAATATAATAAAAATTATATACAATATACATAATAATATAATAAATAAATAATATAATAAAACACTTGGATGTAAATTATAGAAATGAAATGAAAATTCTTGCAATTACTCTAAAATCACAACATAAAGTTGTGATCAAAGGAGAAAAATTAAGTTGAAAATTAAACTACAAAATGAATTGACACGTAAAATTTCCTACACGATGATAAAGATATAAATTTGGAAAATAATAATTTAAATACCAATTAAAATTATGGTACGCTTGGAAGAAGCTTCAACGATCTTGTCCAAATTTCCCACACTCTCCACGAGATTTTAATATAATGCATCAATGAAGTCGAAAATGAATGGTTATTTTAGGAAAAATCAGTGCAGTATAAAACTGCATAATACGATGTATAATACGACACTGAAAACTTATTTTACGGTTGGTATCGCATGAGCGATCTACCTTGAAAGAACCACATAATTTCTTACGTGGTAATATGCAATATACATAATTAATATGCAATATACATAATTATATTATTTAAATAAAAAATCTCACATATATACTGTTACTCGTAATTTTTAAATTTCATGAGACAGGAAAAACTTTAAACTTTATTATATTTTTGGTATATCATTTTAAATAAGAATTTTAATATAAACTTTGTAGATAAATATAGGAACTTTAGTATATTTTGAATTAGGTTAGGTTCGGAAATAAATATTTAAATTTTCACATATCCCAAATTAATATGTCTTTGAAATAAATTCTTAAATTTTTATATATTTTAAATTGGTACATACAGCTACAGAAAATTATTAAATTATAACTACGAATTATTTTCATCGAAATTGTATTCATGATTCCATTTTCGTCACGATACTATTAATTTCTGCTATTAATTAGTAAACATTTATACTAATTTTTACGTACCTTTTATTATATAATTTAATAATAATAAATTTAATTACCCAGTAAGCAGGTGTTTTAAAGTAAACTGAAAAATCCATAAAAATTCTCCAAATTTGTAAATTAAATGTAATAGTACATTGTTGCTTGAAAAGAGGAAAGACAAGGGCGACAGAACAATCAAAAAAGCCTTTAATAAATCTACTGAAAGCAAAAGATAATAGACTACATTATTCTTTATTACGTTTTCATTCATAAAATTTTAATATTAGAAATGATCCCAGACTTTTGCTCGGTATTACACACAATTATCCATTATAATTATAACTTCATCGCAACAATTCAACGTGTAATTACATTTACTAAATTCACTGATTAATTCTCCATAATAAATTATTTAAAAGAAGAGTCACGAAGATAAATGGAAATAATTAAAATAACCGAAAATAAATAAAAGTGTAAGTAAAAAATAACGGGAAGTATGAAAATAGCAAAGATAAAAAGTTCAGAAATGAAAGATAATAAAAGTTATGAATACTTGATATTAAAATAAAAATTAAGAAATAAAATAAAAATAAATAACTAATATTTTTGCAAATAAATGCAAATAAATATTTTATAAATGCAAAGATCCTGATCTTTCTTTAAAAAGTGGAACTATAGAGGAAGAAGCTAAGCAACGTCTTGCAGGAAGGCAAAATTACAGAGGAAAAATGAAAATTATCGAAATTGAACATATCTCTAAAAATCTTATAAGGCTTTCATAAATTCTCGCGACACGACATATTCGTGGGGGGTATTAATTAGCGAAGGAAAGAATTATTCAGCCGGCACACATTGACGTGACAAGTATCATAGTCTGACATTTAATTTTTAGAAGAATACCTAATGAGACGAAGGGAACAGGAAAAATTTCCCAGCTCGAATATATGTTCAAAACGGGGAAATTAATCGACGCGTTATGTGTGAAATACTGGACAGCTGGGACGTAATTAAACACGTTCGTCGTGTCATCGAAAATTAATTTGGTTCATGCTCGATGGAAGACACATCGTTCGGATTTTATCGTAAACATTGCTGTTTTATTAGCCACAGAAGATAGTATTTGTTTCAATTAATCGATGTTATATTTATGGAGATTTTGAAATAAACTTAATAAGGTAATATTCAAAGATTATGCACAGTCGATTATAAAAATATTACGATACGTACCGTAATTTAATTTTCATTCTTTTTATTTTGAATAAATGTGTGAGGAACTCATAAAATGTGTTATGTTATGTTATAGAGTAAATAATGTAGAGTATAATAATATAAAATATTATGTACAATATAATATAATATATAATACATTATAGAATATTGTATAGAATGTTATATAAA